GCCCAGCTAATTTTTGTATTTTTAGTAGAGATGAGGTTTCACCATGTTGGCCAGGCTGGTCTTGAACTCCTGACCTCGAGTCATCCTCCTGCCTCAACCTCCCAGAGTGCTGAGATTACGGGCATGAGCCACTGCGCCTGGCCCTCAACATTGTTATGTTTGGCACATAGGTTGTGGTCAAATTGGCTTTTCTGAAGTTGATTCTTACTGAAGACAAAATGGTGAAAGCCGTGGTAGGGTAGAATGGTATCTTCCCAAAGATGTGCCTGTCCTAATACATAGAACCTGCAAATGTGTGACCTGTCATGGTGAAAGGGACTTTGCAGGTGTGACAAAGTCATGGCTCTCGAGATGGGAGATTGTCCTGGATTATCTGGGTGAGCCCTTTATAATCACAAGGGTACTCATAAGAGGGAGGCAGGAAGCTGGGAGTCAGACAGGGAGCTGTGACAACAGCAGCACAGGAGAGAGACAGACACCCTGCTGCTGCTTTGAAGATGGAGGAAGGAGCCATGATCCAAGGCCTCTAGCAGCTGGAAAAGGCAGGGAAACTGATCCTCCCCTAGAACCCCCAGGAGAAACACGGACCTGCTGACACTTGGGTTTAGGACTGCTGGCTTCCATAACTGTGTGTTGTTTTAAGGCATGAAGTTTCCAGTAATTTGTCACAGAAGCAATAGGAAACTGAGACAGAGGCCAACCTTAAAATCCTTTCCAGGGCTCTCTGGTCCAGGGGATCCTTCCTATTGAAATGATGTTTGAGCAACTTTCTGGAAATTTGCTCACATTTGTTCAATGAAAAGAATCAGGTTAGAAATAGTATGTTATTTATACTTCAATAAAAATTCGGCTTAAAATAGTATGTATTTTTGTAAGTTATATTTATACATTTAAATATATGAATATGAAAATTGAAGATTATACACAAAAATGAAAATTATTATCTCTGGTTGGTAGAAATACAGCCAGTTGGCCAGGTGCAGTAGCTCACGCCTGTAATCCCAGCACTTTGAGAGCCCAAGGCTGGTGGATCAGGAGGTCAGGAGATCGAGACCATCCTGGCCAACATGGTGAAATCCCATTTCTACTAAAAATACAAAAATTAGCTGGGCATGGTGGCAGTCGCCTGTAATCCCAGCTACTTGGGAGGCTGAGGCAAGAGAATGGCTTGAACTCAGGAGGTGGAGGTTGCAGTGAGCAGAGATCGCGCCACTGCACTCCAGCCTGGGTGACAGAACGAGACTCTGTCTCAAAAA